AATAATATTTACAATTAAAAAGTAAGAAAAACAATCACGATTTCTTTTATCAGTATATTAATTAATGAAAAATATGTCTTATATGTGAAAAAGTGTAATAAGATCTCACATGAATATGAAACATTATAATATACAAGCAAGATACAAATTTCAACTTATAAGTGAATTTTATAAAGTTAAATTAGATAATTCTATAATATTAGAGTTAATTTTAACAATTTGAAACTCTTCACAATTTCTCAAGGAATATAATAAAATCATACATCAACTAAGAATATAATATTATTACAACATATAGGTAAGATATAAATTTTACTTCACAAACCAATCTTACAGGATTGAGTTGTTATATATCTCATTTCTAATAATAATAAAAAAATATTTATATTTCTAAATGTTTTCTCTTTAAACGTTATTTATTAGTTAACTATTTAAAATAGATTGTCATATTATATATTTTCAATTTAACCAACTTTTAGATTCTCTACTTGATACAACCTTCCTTTCTTCTTAAAAATTTATAATTATATTTTGTCTTACAAGAGAGGATACGAAGATACAAGTTTAGAAAAAACTAAAAGACAAAATAGAAAATACTAATTAATGTAATTAATTAAATTATATATTTTACTTGTCATCTATTTATGAATTATTATATTTAAATTATGAATATTTTGTAGAATAAAGTTTTATCTTTGAAAAATATATTGATAAATTAAGAGAAAAATATATAGTCTCTATTAATATAATCCCGTGACTAAGACGTAGTGTCTCAACTTTATTTTTAAAATAATAATATTATTACGATCAATTGTTACATCTAATCTTAAATTTTAATTTGTCATCATTTTATCTTTAAAATACATACTAAAATATTTTAGATAATAAATTATATATTTTTAATATCATTTATAGTCTCAATAATATAAGATTCTCTCTTGTAATTATGTATATTATGTCATATATTATCATTAAATTAATATGCATTTAACACACGAAATCTCCTAAATTATTTCACTTACTTAGTTTCTGGGTAGTTAAAATGATTAACTTACATTAACCATTAAATTTCTTAAGAAATTACACAATTATACTATTATACTTTTTTTCCTGTTATTATTATTATTATTATTGTTATTATTATTATTATTATTATTAATGTACTTTAACCTTGTTGAACTATTCCAGAACACATAGTTTGGGTACTAAATAAAATCATCTATTATGTGTTGATTTATCTAACATTGGCCTAACCTTAGTTGAGAGTGGAAGGAAAGGACCAATTGAGTCCATGTAAAACCTAGATTAGAATGAAAGTTAAAAACCATGCTTATCTCCCCTACTTTTCATTGTTTGTTTAAGTCGATCATCAGAACCCAATAATCAATCATTCAGCTTAATTGATTAATATAATAAAAATTTACTGTTCAACGTGTATGATGCGTATAAAGTCTATTTGGAACTTATGAATATGAATTATACCAAGTCTATTCACCCATTTAATTATTAGATATTTTAGAAAGTAGTGTGTTGTACTTAGAATAATTCTCGTACACTCAAAATTATGAAACTTAATTAACGACACTTCAATTTGACTTAATTATGAAAAAATAAAATTTACAATAAACCTAAAACACAAAATTGGAAAAATCAATAAACCTAAATTTCGGTTGAGTCACATGAAAATCGATGCAAAAATACTTGCTTTAAATTTGATAATTGTTTCTGCATTATTATGTAGAAAGATGTAGTGAAATAGCATTTCTCTATTAATGAAACTTATTATTTAAAAATAATGAAAAAAAGTAAATTTCTAACTCTGTTTTCGATGATAGGTTATTCAGACAGTAGAAATGGATAATGAGAAATTGTTGTGAGAACAAGTGAATTCATTTGAAACTCAGATGAATATTGGTTAAGTAGGATGCTGAACGTAAAATGTTGATTAAGAGTATATATAATTAAGAATTACTGGTTGATTAATTACCTAAAAACATTTGTTTGGCATCAAAGATGGTTGCATGTAAAAGTGAAGGCACAGTATATTTGGAAATGAAAGCAACCTTGAACGCGTTATGTTAAACAGTTTCCATGTCCAAACAAAAAACCATCGAGTGACAGGCAACAGTACTCACATGGCTATATAACACACGTTACTTTGCTTCCACGAAAGTCATACACTATTTCTCTGTAACCACAGATAACCTGAAAAGGTAAAAACAATCCAGAACAGGGAAATTTTGTACCTGAGATCTGCATGAAGAGTGGGAAATTCTTAGATGCAGGTATTAGTTTGGTCTGAGGTGTAAAAGCTTGATATATATGAGCCTCCTTGGTCTGAGTGATAACATAAAATCAATAATCAATTGGTAAGATGTGTAGTAGTGTAATATGTATTTAAATAATACCAAATGATATGAGATAGACGATGTGAGACTTTCAACACGCTCCCTCCAACAAAGTCTTCCCTCCAACAAAGTCTGCCGGACCAGACAAATGTTACTTTTGACCTAATTAAAGGGTAACTTTTGACCCATGACAATAATCGGAAGATGTTAGACTTTGGCTCTGATACCATATTAAGGTTCCAACATAAAATTAATTGACAATATATGAAGTAGCTTATCATGTATTTAAATCATACAAAATCATACGAGATAGAATATATGTAACTTTCAACAATGACCCACTGATAAAAGCTTGATATATATGAGCCTCTTTTTCCTAGCAAAGACTTGTCTCTCACCTTGGACTACTGAGGATCTTAACGAGAGTTTTACATTTAGTTTCGTGTTCCTTATTCAATGGAATAGGCTCTTCTTTATAATATTCAATAGAAATATCCTAAAAGTGAAGGTACAGTATATTATAAATTAAATTTATGGAACATACCAGTGGTTATTTCTTATGTATAATTCTTCCATTTTCTTGTCTTTTTGTTAGGATATTACTTGTTGAGTTTTTGAAGAGAATATTCGTAAAAGAAACACAACCAATTAGATATACATGAGTTCAACCCATATAAAAGATTGACATCATTCTCAACCTAAAACTTTAAGATATTCGATTATGGATCATACTTCCTTATACATTACTCATTTTTTCATTTATTTATATTTAATATGAGATTTAAAATCATACTTATATTTTTTTAATAGCGACAAATAAAAACTTAAAATATAATATTTGAAGAATTTTGTATTAAAAAGAATATTATATATTTTTTATATGATTAAGTCTTATATATGTTTTCTTTATGTAAAGTACCCATCTCACATCACAAAGTGAAATTATTATCTATTTTAGATATTACCTGTTAACTAGTCTTTTAAGAGACATTGGTCTTTTACTAACTACCTTCATTATTATAAAATGTTGAAATTTCAAGTTTCACTCGAATTAGACCAATTTCTTATAGTTCACTCATGTATTGGGCTATTATGAATCTCAATCGTCGACCATCCATGTATACAACTTCATAATTAAGAATCTTAGTAATTAATATATGAATCGTAATTATGAACAAAATCCACTGCTTGAATAGAAATTAGAAATAACTATTTTTAAATTTATAAATAAGTCTTAAATACTTAAGACAAATCAACTTACCATAAATATTTTGATTTTTTGTTTGGAAGTTTTTCCTCTAAAATAAACTTACTTCCATATATTTACATACACACGATCACAATATACAATGTTTATATATAGGAATCAATTCAATAAAAACTAAAATGAGAATTGATGACAAATCCTAAATTCGGTAACCAAATACAACATTTGGTTGCATATGCAAAAAAATTTCTTTTCACTATTTTTCGAAAAGCAAGTTAAATATATATATATATATATATATATATATATATATATATATATATTTTTTTTTTTCAAAATATTAGAAATAATTTAATTTAAATAATAATATTTCATAAGAACGAAAATATCCTAAATTCATATATTTTTACATTTAAATATTATTCATTTTAAAATTTTCCTTTTTCTTGATTTTACTTTTAAAAAACATATTATAAATAAAAAATATATATATTTAAACTATTCTTAATCTCAATTTTTATAAAATATTAAATTCTATCAAAATAAGTAAAAATGTAATAATTTAAAAATAAAGTTAATAAAATATTTTAAATATTATATATTTTATACTTTGAGACAGTGATACTTAAATTAATAAAATGACAAAAAAATCCCATAAATAAAATAATTTTACTCCCTCCCTAGTAATGTCGGGAACCAAAACCACGGACGATAAGGTAAACCTTTTAAGAGAATCTTCAACCTTTTAGTTTGGAATCTTTATTCCTAACAGCAGGACCAATAAAATTTGCGATACCCATGTAGCAGACAGAGAAAAGTCTAAAAAGACAAAAAAAAACCTAAAAGCCATGGATCTATGTGGTAGACGTAGAAGGCGCGTTCGGTTCAATCTCCCTCGACAAATGTCATGGAAGACGACATGGCATGTTCAGTTTGAATTCAAATTGTTCACAAGTTGAATTATTAGTTAATATATGTTTAGATTAATTTTTTATTCAATTCTCAATAGTTTTTGTGTTGAATGTAAAATACAGTGATCAGTGGGGACATAATCCTAATGGAAAGGTCAAAGAAAGTGGTTACTTTGTGGGAAGTGGGAATAAAATCCTACGTCATAACCAAAATCTCAAATTCTTAAAACAAAAATACAATCTTTAGGTTAATATATTTTTTAACGTATAGAAATATGAAAATAAGTTATAAATGACATAAAATAAAATAAAATATTTATACAACCATTTGTGAGGTTGAGGATGAGCAAGCCCAGTCAAGACCACTCTCAGCACTGACATGTACGTCATCATTATCATTATCTTTCCTTCGAATCTTTTCACTTCCAGGCCAATGTACGACCATTAACAACAATTGCCGTACACAAAAAAAAAAATCTACAAACAAATCCAAAAAACAAAAAGCTACCATCATCGTCTTCTTCTTCGTCGTAATCAGCCATGAGTGTTGGGAGTAGAAGCGTTGGGTTCAACCTTCCTCAATTGAATCCCATGCCTATGCGTCTCATCGTCCTCATACGCGTATGCAAACCCTCCATGGCGGGTCAGATCCATACCCGCGAGTTCGTCCTCGGGGGAAATCCTTAACAGCTTCAATTTATTCAGTCCCCAGAAGAGAGGTCCCATGGTGGCGCTAACCCACCCAACAATAACCAAAATCTGAATCACGTGCGCCGCTAGCAACCTTCCTCCACCTCCCATAAACAACCCGTGCGGCCTCGACACGTCTCCGCGGTAAATCTGGTTCACGTACTCCTTCTTCGCGAATAGCGCCGTGAAAATCACCCCCCACGCGCCGCACCCTCCGTGCAACTGCGCCGCCTCTAGCGGATCGTCGAACCCAACCCTCTCAGCCAGTTTGTTGCACAGGATCAAGACAACGGACGCCACAAAACCACACACGATAGCCGCCCACGGTTCCACCACCGAACAACCGGCTGTGATGGCGGCGAACCCTCCCAACAAACCGTTGCAGACGTCGGTGACGTTCCAGTGACCGGATATCACGCGTTTCCCGAAGAGCGTGGTCAACGCGGCCGTTGACCCTGCTAGAGTTGTGGTAACCGCGGTTCTCCCAACCGCGCTCCATTGACCATAGTAACTCCCCGAGTTATTATCATAAGGGACGAAGATTTTGTTGAACGAACCAGGATTAAAACCGTACCAACCAAACCACAGCATGAAGGTTCCCAGCACCACCAACGAGGCGCTGTGGCCACGTAGCGCTACGGCGCGTCCCGCGTGATCGAATCGGCCGATTCGGGGACCCTCGATAAGCGCGCCCCAGAGTCCCGCCACACCGCCGACCATGTGGACAACGCCGGAGCCGGCGAAGTCGATTACGCCGCTGGAGAATAAGAGATTGTTTAGGTTGAACGCGGAGGCCCAACCGTCCGTGGACCAGAACCAGTGAGAGACAACCGGATAGACGAAGCCGGTGAGGAAGGATGAGTAGATGAGGTAAGCCACGAACTGCGTTCTCTCCGCGATGGAGCCGCTGGTGATACCGGCGGCGGCGATGGCGAAGGCCCACTGGTAGAGGAAATTGCTGTAGTCAAAGGTTTGGGAGGGGAGGTCTGAGAGGCCGAAGAAGTGTTTCCCGATGAATCCGTTGGAGGGGGAGCCGAAGGCGAAGGCGAAGCCGAAGAGGTAGTAGAAGAGGCCACCAGCGGCGGCGTCGAGCACGTTGGTGAGCATGATGTTCATGGTGTTCTTGGCGCGGACCGAGCCCGCGCAGAGCATGGCGAAGCCAAGCTGCATCGAGAACACAAGGTACGCGGAGAAGAGGAGGTACGTGTTGTCGATGGCGTAGCCTGTGTCAGTGAATTTGTTCCCCACGGCGGCGAACTGATCGCAGATTAGCGTGGCCGCCGCATCGGCGTTGGTTGTGTTTGGGCCGAGAAGTTGGGCTAGTTGGGATGCGGAACAAGTTTGCAGCGACATGGTTAGGGTGCTCTTTGAAGCGACGGCGTTTGAGGGGTTTGGGTTTCCGGCGCGAGAGTTAATGGAGTGGGAACACCGCAAACTGTGGAAGAGAGAGTGTGTGTATAAATAGAGTGTAAGCGGTGGCGTTTGAAGTCAATTTGTGTGCGCTATCTTTAGAACGCGAGAGAGTGTGCGAGAGGGGACTTTTAAAAAATTCGCGGAAATTATATTAAAAGATTGATAAAGCATCACGTTTCTTTCTTTAATCTTTCCTTTTTCAACTTTTTTTTTTTATCGCTTCACCTACTTTTTATTTTTATTTTTATATATGTTTTCGTAATTATCCTGTGAACTCCTTCTCTCTCTCAAAATAAATACGTGAATCTAATTATTATTAAAAGAAGTATCTCATTTTTAATTATTAGATTAAGAATATAAAGATTCAATGAGATACTTTTAATATAAAATTAAATATACATACTATGAAACGCGAAAAATATTTTTATTTAATAAATCAATCCAGTTTAAATTCTGAATGGAAGCATATTAAATATATTAAATAAATAAGTTCAGTTTTATTAGTGTTTTTTTCTTTAAACTTATGATTTCAATTTCAGTGTTAGTTTTTTTTCTTTTATATTATTTTATTGTATTTATTATTATTATTATTATAAATTATTCATTGTCTATATAATTAAATAATCCTAGAAAATATATTATATTTTATTATAATATTATAAATTTTTAAATCACTTAGTTCATCTTTTTAAATTTCAGTGTTAGTTTTTTTTATTGTATTTATTATTATTATTATAATAAATTATTCATTGTCTATATAATTAAATAATACTAGAAAATATATTATATTTTATTATAATATTATAAATTTTTAAATCACTTATTTCATTTTTAAAAAATAATATTATTTATGTATTATAATTATATTTATTCAGCACAAATACATTAAAATTATTTTATTTATTTATTTATTTCATTAAATATTATTTTATTAATTATCTTTTATTTATTATTATTCTATATAATAGATTATATCAAATTAATTATTATCTTTTAGATTATATATTGATATATTTTGATTAATACTATATAAGAAAAATAAGTCCAAGAATAAATATTTCATTTATTATTTATTTTCAAATATATTTTTTTAAACTAACTTTTTATCTTTTATAAATAGACTTCTATTAATTTTAAAAAGATTATTTCTAATTATTTTAAAGTTGTGACTCTTAATCTAATTTATCAATTTTTTTAACCCAATCTCATTTTTTTTTACGACTTCCATTAGTTTAATAAGAAAAAAATATAATATTATTATTATTATTATTATTATTATTATTATTATTATTATTATTATTATTATTATTACGAATAATATAGATAATAAATATACATAATAACATTGTAAAATAATATGTTTATCATAAATGAATTTGTTATTTTATGTTCTACTTTAAGTTAAGTGTTATTTGAGTAAGGAAAGTTACATCTTGATTTGAGTGAAAATAGCATTTATCTTCTCTATGTCTATAAAATTTAAAAAAAAATCCAAATATACTCAAAAATAGAAAAAAATGGAAATATCAATTCAATTATTATGTTATATAATAAGATGAGATATATTTAAAAAAATTATTCATAAAATATTTTATAAGAAAAAATAAATAAAAATAGTTTCTCTATAAATTAAAAATAAATTTATACAAAATTTAATGTTAACTTATGTGGATTGATTTTAGTTTTTAAAATTTTCGTAGCCTAAATAACATTTCTTCTTCCCCTTTCACCTTCCTCTAATTTATTACTTCTCCCCCAACTTAACTTTCTTTCTTTAGAATCTAATCTGTCTTTTTTTTAATATAAATAATATTTCAAAAAGTTTTATAATGATGAAGAACTGGAAGCATAAATTTTCTTAACATATTCTTAATCATTTACTATTATCTTGATTCAAAATTATGATAAATTATTATTATTATTATTAGTTTTTATATGATACTTGAGATAAACTATCGATTATTGATGTCTAAAATTAAAAATATTAATTATTGATTAAGGATAAATGGTTTATGATTTTTCTTTTTGTGTATATATCAGATTTTATTGCATGTATAAGTAAGAACCCAACAAGAAATATATCAAAGAAAAAAGAGTATAAACATTTATAGTAAAAACTATTTTCTAAATTTATAGTAAAAGTATTTTTTTCTACGTTATTATAATTTTTTATTTTTTATTTATCTTTTAATAATAGAAAGTATATCAATTAACAGATACATAGAAATATATTGTCTGTGTCTCTGTATTTTTATTTTACTTTACTAAAATTTAATGTATATATTAATTTAAAAATATAAATATTTGTAATTGAAAATAAACATGACAGAGTTTTAAAAAGAAGAAAAAAATAAAAAGTGCAGTTGAAGGTAATAGAAACGATTGATTAATTAAAAATAAGTGAAATGTTTGACTAACAAAAATGAAATAAAATAAAATATAAATATAAAATAAATATTTTTTAAGACATAAAATAATAAAAAATTGTAAGATTTAAATATATATATATATATATATATATATATATATATATATATATACTATTTCAAAATATTTTGTTTTAACCTAAAATATTTCCAATTGAAATTTTATTTTAATGATTTGTTTTATTTATGATGATCAGTTATACAAAAAATTTGTTAAAAATAAAACGAAGGGCATTAAAAATTATAAGAGAACGTATAATTAATATTTTAAAAAAAATTATTTTAACAAATATCTCTATACAATGATTAAAATTTGTTAAAAAAAAATTACCCCTCCATTAAAATTAATAACTTTTTTAATTAATAAGTCTAGTTTTTTTTTACGAAAATAATTCATCTTAATAAAATATGTAAAATATTTTATAATAAAATGAATATTTGAATAAAGAATTTGAAAAATAATTATAATTTTAAAAATTAATTAAGATATTTTAATTACTTAAAATAAGATAATTTTAAATTATATTATAAAAAAATACAAATTTAAAATTCTATTATTATTGTTCTTATAACAGATGACTCTTTACGACCTAAAACACAGGTTAACTGCGTAGATGTAATTTTTTTATAGCAAATGAAATCTTGATATATTTGATGTAGGATTAGGGATTTCAAGCAAATTTCTTAAAAGATGTGATATTTTATAGGGAAAAAAATGAAATCTTGATATATTTAATGATAGATTAGGAATTTTAAGTAAATTTTTTAAAAGTGGAAGTAATAATATTTTGGGAGAATATCCCATAATAGTTTAATTAACTATAGAAGATTCATTTTAAGGTTTTTCAAGATATCATGAAGCATCTCAAGGATAGGTTTTTTTACTTTGACATAAAAATTATAAATAAAATTGAGATATTTTTTTAAGGATAAAACTATGATAAATAAGAGTTTCAAAGCCAATAATACCTCAAAGATAATAATTAATCCTCACAATATTAATATCATAACACATATAAGAACAAAACTATCTTGTTACATAAACTGAATAAGTAATAAAACAAAAACTAACCAATTCATCAATATATCAATTAAGGTAAACAAAATTCTATGTCAATTAATATAAACACCCTCAAAGTTTAAGTTCATATATTAACATAATTATTTTTCTATAACAAATCTTGTTTTTCTCCTTTTGTATTATTTTTAGTTATGACATTTTTTTTTCTATTTTACGGATTTATATATAAACTCTGTTTATACTTCTTTTTTAGAGGGAGAAATTCTTAATAAAAACAGATGAATTACATCGTATATATGAATAGGAAGATGATATCAGATGTTATTTCCTGATTTCTTCATCCATTCATATGGCGTTCAAACCCTATATTGACTTTCACACTAATCCATTCTCAAGATCAAATATGCTTCCAACGTTTGACAAGATTTATACCATCACTTTCATCAAGGAGATATTTTTCATATTGCAGGTTTATAAGAAGATTTATACAAACTACACCAAGGTACTCTCTGTAACTGAATTTTACATAGAGTTATATACTTTTTGGGAGGAAATCGATCGTTTTCGTCCCTTTGTTAATTGCACAAGTACTATCAAATATTCTTGTGATGTTCTTGATTTTGTCTGACACTATAAGCATCAATATTATGTCATTCGATTTCTGAGATGCCTTAGTAATCAATATGCTTCCATACGATCTCAGATTATATTAATCGATCATCTTCCCGATATTACCAAAGTTTTTAACATGGTTATCTAGCAAGAACATTAATTACATTTTGTTCTTATAGTTCTTCTAAAAATGTTCTTGATTCACAAGTCCTAACTGTTACTACTTTTTTCGAATTTGCAGTCCAAGAATGATGATGTTTCTAACTCGAATCCTTTTTATAGAGGATGAGACAAATGTCATTTCTTTCCAAGGGGTCGTGGCAGAAATAATGGAGGGAGAAGTTCCCATGGTAATAAATTTTACATTTAGTGTGAACGCAATAATCACACACAGTAGATACGTGTTATTTCAAATATAGTTTTCCACTAGGCTATAAAAACGCATGACTAATAATGTTGTCTATATTATTTTTCCATATAACCATATTACTACCAACGTCTCCAATCTTCATGAGATCTCACTGCCAATGCCTAAATTTATTGAAGAACAGTATCATGACATTCTAACTCTTTTGCAATAATCAAAATCTCCTACACATACAACCAAACACATACAACAACTTTGGTGTCCACTACTTCGATTAATTCTTCTTCCACTCTTCCTAAAACTCCTTTTGTTCTTGATTCATGTTCCATTGGGTCCTACTGTAGTCTATTGTGACAATCAGTCTGTTATTTATTGAGCTCATAATCCTGTATTTCATGAGCACACTAAACACATCGAAATCAATTGTCATGTGGTTTGTGAGAAAATTAAACAAGACCTAATTCATCTTTTTTCTGTTTCATTTTCTAATCACCTTTTAGATAATTTTACTAAA